TATTTCTGGGGCCATTTTGTAGCTTATTTTTAACATCTTACAGATATTGTGATGTATATTCCTCCAGAATTCTTTTATTTTTGGGCAGTGCCACCACATATGAATCCTTGAGCCTTTTGCCTGTCCCATTTCCAGCAATTATGCTGGTTGTTTTTATATATTTTGGCTCTTTTTTTCTGGAGTTAGATGCCAACGATATGCTATCTTTAAGTAATTTTCTTGAATTCTTTGACATTTAGTAAATAAAAAAGTCTTCTTCCTTGCTTGGTGCCAGCTCTATAATTTGAGTGGTTTTCCTATGTCCTTTGTCCATAATATCATGAAATGTTTTATGGCCTCTTTCTCCAACTTTCTTTCTTGCAGTAACTTGTAAAGTTTAGTGATTGTTTTTTTCTTCGCTGTCTTCCAGGATCTTAACTAGTTCATTTTGTGTTTTAGTGATTCTTTCTTCTTTCAAGTCTACTTTTAATCTTTCTTGAAGCTGTTTTTGAAGAAACCAATGAGGTGGGGGATTCAGTTCTTTCATTTCCTGAATTGGTTTTATTTCCCATTGTTTTTGGTTGTTTCTTTGTATCTTAATCATATGTCATCTTTACTAGTTCTTCCAAAGAAGGCCTACTGAGGGAAGACCCATCCTGGGATTTCTCTATAGAATAACCTTTTTACTTCTTCTCACATTTTTATGATGGCCTTTCATATGAAATGGTGTGTGAAGTCTTTGTGGAGTATCATTATTTTAGTAGTAGTTCATTATTTTAACTAATAAAAATGTTCTGCTGGTACACGTGTTTAGTAGATATAAGAAAAATACTGTTTTATTGGGTTGAAATTGTCATGGGATGTGAGAGATAGTAGCGTATCTCGTAAGCTGAGTAATTGGTATTTGCAAACAGAAGGTGAGCAACAACTAGTCACACGCACACACGTACCCTAAGGTTTAGCAGAAAAATAAAGGAGGCTTAGACTTCTTTTAAAACATATGAAGTAGGGTTACTTACAAATACTGTTTCATAACATTTTATGGTGAGAGGATCTATAAGATGTGCTCTTTAATGTGGATTATATGCTATAAATGGTGTACTAACATATGCAGACTAACTGCAGACTGATGCAGGAAGAGAGAGGGTGTTTCTGTGACCAACAAAGAGGGAATCACATGAATAGATACTATGCCTAAATTCTTGGAGAGACTTGTAAACTAGCAACTACTGAGTATAAGCATCCTGTGGTTAGCATCGTTACCTGGTTGCTACCTGTAACAGAACTTGTGGTATCATTTGACTAGGAAAAGCAGTCAATATTCAGTTTGTATCCTAAGTCAGCCTAATAAATTATGATGTTCAGCACTTTTTTCTGCAGCAGGCTAACCTCTATGCCTGCCCTAACTAATGATTGTTTCCTTGTTTTGTTTTCTCCCTCTGCTTCTCCATAGCTGCTGTCATGTTTGATTCAAGTTATAAACGTCCAGAAGTTGTTGCTAGTGAGAATCAGAAGATTCTGACCTCACAGGGAGCAACTTGTACCACCACCACCAGCAGCAGAGGTGGATGGCACAGCAGGATGCACTGTAAACAGCTTCCCAGTGTCACTCTGGAGTGCTCTAGATTTTCTGGGAAGATCTGGAGCAAAGGGTGAGTTTTTAAATCCATTTTAAGGATGGTGTTTAATGTGGGTTCAGTGCTGAATTGGCCATTTAACTGGTGCTAAACTGGTTGTCAGGACAGTTGGCACCAGAATTGGGCATTGAGCCCTGTGTCATCTGGACTGATTATTGTGATGTTGGCGTGGGGGAAGGATGTGTCATGTGGCCCATGCAAACACAGTCAGGGACTTATACTTCACTAATGTCATGGGAGATTCTCCGTCAATGAATGCTTGTTCGTGGCCTGGGATGGTCAGCTGATATCTTTGAATGGGACAATTGCTATGAGATGTTTGTGAAATTTTGGCAATGTTGAAGGGAAAGGTGTCACATCTCAGACCAAATGTGTGTGTGTTTCACATAAAATAAATAAATAAAAAGTCTGAAAAATCTGAGTATTACAAAATAGTGCCATTGCATGGACATGCTTTGCAACAATGCTTATTTATTTCTTTTCTCCTTGTGTGCCTCCAAGTCACTGTTGAGTTATGACAGGGGTAGGCAACCTAAGGCCCGGGGGCCGGATGCGGCCCCCCAAGGCCTTTGGACCAGCCCCAGGTCGGTCCTGCTGCTGCCGCCGCCGCCTCCCGCCATGATGATATTGATTATAGTTGTTATTACTTGTTCTTGGGGTTTTCTTGGCAAAATCTCCATAAGGGTTTTGCCATGGCTTTTCTGGGGCTGAGAGAGTGTGCATGCATATTTGTTAAAATTTTTAATTTTTAAAATTTATTTATTTATTGATTTATTTTTGGTGCTTTGGCCCCCCAGTTGTCTGAGAGACAGCAACCCAACCCCCGGCTCAAAAAGGTTGCCTACCCCTGACTTACGACAACCCTACGACTTACCTAACATAGGGTTTTCTTGGCTAGTTTCTTCTGAGGGGGTTTGCCATTGCCATCCTCTGAAGCTGAGACAGTGTGACTTGCTGTGGGTTTCCATGACCAAGCAGGGAATCAAACCCAAATCTCCAGACTCCAGTCCAACGCTCAACCCACTGCAGCATGCTAGCTAGAAACGTGAATTTCCCATCACATAGGAAAAGAAATCATAGCTTGGCTCAAGTGTGATCCACAAGGGGGCAATATTGTTGTCTTTGAAATGCAGCAGAAAGTTGCTGCAGAGTGCCCTCTAGTCAAAATATGTCATTTTCTTTGCAAATGATGTGCTTTTGAAAAGAAAAAGAGTACACCCAAGACTGGAAGTAAGTGGAAGGGAAGCATTGAGAAATGTCACTCCTACACATTTATCTTAGCCACAAAGGGCTTCAAGAAAGACAAATCATAGTAGGAAGTGAAGTTCAAGAGAAACATAAGTGGGACTGGGGAAGCCCTACCAAGAGAAAATGTAAGATCATGGCAACAGGGAAGGGATTGGGAATCCCTGTATCTCAGACCTGGTTCTTCTCTTGTAGGCCTCAGGACAAGGTTATGAATCTTTGGGCAGAAGTGCTGCCTTGAAAATAAACTTTTAAAAACCATGTTTGGCTTGGTCCCAACTGCTAGAGACATTTTTTTAAAACTTTTTATTTTATATTAATAAACAAGACAACAATACAAATACATTTATACTACAAATGGATTCATACTACAATCATATATACAACATCCCTCCATCCCATCCTTCCCTTCCATCGCTAGAGACTGTTTTTAAGTGGCTGCATCAGAATCTCCGGCCATCTGCTCTCTTTCCTCCTCCTCATTTCAGAGTTTATCAAATCACAGCCAGTAGCAGGTTGAGAAATATGGAGTCGCCTCAGGTGTCACTGAATATGGTATTGCAAGATTGCTACTTGGTGGCTTTTCCTATCTTAGGGTGCATCTCTATACTGTAGAAGAGAGCCAGTGTAGTGTAGTGGTTTGAGCATTGGACTGTGACTCTGGAGAATTGGGTTTGAATCCCCACTTGGCCATGGAAATCAACTGAGTGAGTTTCGACAAGTCACCTACTCTCAGCCTAAGAGGAAGGCAATGGCAAACCTCCTGTAAATAACTCTTGCCAATTCTTGCAATAGAATAAAAGAGTTATTCAGAGGAGGTTCGCCAATCAGTCAATTTGAAGGCATATAGCAACAACAGAAATACAATAAAAACAGCTTGCATTAGTGGAAGGGGAAAAAACATAATTGACTCTTTACTCAAGGAACACTTTTT